CAGTCCTCCGAATCTAATCCAGGCTATAATAATAGGCACACATATCTGGGACTAAGCCTTACTGAAGTTCATGGGACTTAATTCTGAATATGCCTACAACTGGGATTTTATCCTCTTTCCCCCCAGTTACTTCTCCCAGGCTTATCTCACATTATTTAAAAGCTGTTTGATGTTGAGAGAAGCTTTCAGGGGACTGTACATGAAAGTCAGGATGAAACTTCTTTTCTGAACTTCCTTGATTTATCTTAGGATCAAAGCCAATGTTTATTAAAATAAATGTCACACTTTCCAGGATAATGTCATTGTGAAAACAGACCAGCAGAAGCTAATATTCTAATAATGGAGAGTTATCATTGTTATATTATTTAGAGTATTATTCTAGTTTTAAACAGAGTAACATAAATCCTGTTTATATAAGAACTATTTATTAATAACTTCCCTGTGAAAAAAAAGGAAGAAAAAAAAAGGAATAGTCTATGGATATTTGCTGATGTTTGACATCAGTACCTAAAAAAGTAGCATGTCACCTTTTCTTCATGCAAGTTCTATCCACATTTCCTTCCGTCTCAGGATGTCTCCCACTAGCAGGTTCAATATCATTAACAAAAAGTCTCCCCAAAACTCCAGTATCTTCTCTTAAGTGGTGCTTCCTGGCCAACTCTATATTCTTACACAGTGTTTATATATTTACAGAGGGAGAGAAAAAAGCCCTTTAATTTAAAAGCCACTCATAAGTTCCTTCACAATTTTAAAAAAATCAACATGAAACATACAAGTCAAAGTACCATGGACTACCTATAAATTTAGCTCTTGGGTGGGTTTGGGTTTTCTTTTGGGGGGCCTTCTGTTACAGGGAACTGTATGCTTTAATTAGTGCTAAAACAGACTCAAATTACTACTGGCTCTTGTCTAAGAGAAAATTGTCATGTTTTTTCTTCCCAGTAGCCCTTGGTACATCTTGACATCTGTTTAGCACTCAGTTTTATTTCCAGGCAAAAGTCTACATGACTGAGCAGCTTGTAGCACAAGCAACTTAATAACTACTTCAATAGCATTGAAGGCTATTAACTCATAGCAGAGTCAGTAACCTACCAAAATATATTACAAAATTTCAGGAAGCATTTAAAATCACAGCAGCTTGAGAGTGGAGAGACCCAAGAACTCAACTTTTAGCAAATTTAGATGTATGATTCTATGTGAAGGCAGGTAGCAAAATATTAGAGGTAGTCCCCATTTAATGATTGCCTTGTTTAGCAGTTATTTGCAGTTATGGTGGTAATGGAAAAGTAACTTTGTGACCAATTCTCACATATATGACCTTCACAGGTCTGTAAAGCAAAGGAAAGCTGAAGTAAGATTGTAAGCACAGCAGTGGTGGATTGCTACCAGTTCGCCCCAGCAGCGGCGGCAGGAGGCTTCGCCCATCCACCCGGATGCTTCTGCGCATGCGCAGAAGCATCGCAGACATGCGTGAGCATGCGCCCATGAACAAACCGGTAGCAACGGGTTTTGCTTCATAGGCGGGTTTTGAAACCCGCCCCTGAAGCACAGCTGTGGTTTCCCAAAGCTCATCCATACTCCATCTCCCATATATTAATATGGGATCTCAATATTGCGCTTCAACGTGTTGGTTACCACCTTGTCTTCCGGGTGCGCTTCAATGTGTTGGTTACCACCTTTAAAGCGCTCCATGGCATAGGACCTGGCTATTTGCAGGACCGCCTTCTGCCGCCGATAGCCTCCCACCGACCAGTACGCGCCCACAGAGACGGACTCCTCAGGGTGCCGTCAGCCAGGCAATGTCGGCTGGCGACCCCCAGGGGGAGGGCCTTCTCTGTGGCAGCTCCTGCCCTCTGGAACAATTTGCCCCCGGACATACGAACGATATCGGATATCCGGGTCTTTCGCCATGTCCTGAAAACTTTTCTTTTCCATCAAGCAGGGCTGGCGTGAACCCCCTCCCCCTTTTTTAGTCTTTTTAGTTTTTTAGTTTTAAATTTTCATGGGGTTTTAAATTGAATTGTTTTAAATTGGGCCAGTTATATAATTCTTTTAACAATTTTAAATTTTGTATCTGCATGTGTTTTAGCTCTGGCTGTTCACCGCCCTGAGTCCACTAGGAGAAGGGCGGTATACAAATTGAAATAAATAAATAAATAAAAATAAATAAATATGTGGTTCAGGAAAATCTGCCTGTTGGTCTGCCTCAGCATTCTCTAACATGGGGCAGAGCTCATTCATCACATCAGCTCATGAATGCTGAAGACTAGTGAAAGGTCACTTGCTGCTTCTGATCTTATCTCCCCACATGCTGAGCTTCCAACCATCATCTGGTTCCAAGAATGGATCTAACATGGTGTTGGAGCTTGGAAGAGGGCAGAGGTGACTTTTTGATAGATGACCTATCATCCTACTTCAGGCTCCTTGCTAGTGTCAAGCCACCACCCAGTGCAGATGTCCAGAAGGAAGGAGTATGTGTACACCAACTGAAAGCAGCTAACAGAAGCTAGGAGATTCCACTCCTACTGTGTCATCAGCTCAGTCACCACAAAGGAGCGACATATTAGAAGGGTTCTTTCAGGAGAAATTGGTTTAGGAAAAAACCCTGGCCTCAGCACCACCTTGATACAAAGGTTGCATATGAGTAGGTGTTCATCAGAAATTATTAGCCTGGCACCTTTGAGCCAAAGTTAGGAGGAAGTGTGACTGTGCACAGTGTTCATAAAAGCCCAATCCTTCCTTTAGTTTTATTTTAACTTAATAAAACTTGTTAGGAGTTACATCTACACATCCTCCTTGCAACAGGGAAAAGAACTGCATTTTAATTACTCTAGCTGTATTATCTGTGTAAATATATATCTTTAAAACGCAAAGAACAGTTCACTTCACATGTAAAATGCTACTGCAGCCAACTTTATATTGAAAGTAGGAAGCTGTGCCTCCTAGAACAATATTTCATTTGGTTAGGTTATTCTTCTTGGCTAACTGAGTACATTTTGTTCCCTTGTATAATAAACTTACTATAAATCAAGTTTATCCAAAGGCTGAGGGAAAATATGCTTTCAATTCATGGTTTACAGGGAAAACAGAAGTTAAGCTACCAAACCCTCCCACCCCCAAAAGTCTCATAACTCTCCTCTATCATCAAGGTGGACCAAAAGAAACCACAAAACTTTCTGTGATATCAAAAACCAAAAGAGGAACAACCCCAATTACAAGCCCAACAAACAACCCAATCGCCACAGCCAACTCTCTGTGGGATAACTTGCCGCAGGACAAAAATTACATAATATAGAAGAAATGGTGAAATAAAATCATTAAAGAAAGGATGCAAAAGGAGAGACAAAATGAAATGTGAATGACAAAAATTAAAATATTTTTAAAATTATTTTAAATAATTAAATAAAATTGTTGAATTATCCTGCAACTAGTTTTCCCATGGCAAATTGGCCACAGCAAATTGTCCCATGGCGAATTTGCAGCAGTGAGTTGGCCGCAAGTTGGTCGTGGCAAGTTGTCCCATTCCAACCCAAAAAGGCAAACAAACCAGTAGCTCAAAGGAATCTTTAGCATAATAAAATTAACAGCCAGGGATTATTGGCTCCAGAAAACTGTACACCACACAAGGCATCCCTGAATTACCTATGCTGGAGTGCAAACAATTGTACCAAATAATGTTGCTTGCTTATGTTTGGAAGCATGTGGAAATGTGGCAAATATTTTCAATTTAGACATTACTCCCTTCCTATTAGCATTATGAGTGTGGAGTCCTTGGTGCTCTCTGAGCTTGGTTGTTTTCTTGAAGATGTTTTATTACCTAATTAAATAATGAAACATCTGCAAGAAGACAACCAAACTCAGAGAGCACCAAGGAGTCCACGATTCAACCCTGAGCTTCAAATATTCTATTAGCACTATGACTGCATCAAAATATAAATAGCCTGACTGAAGCTCTGTGCATGGGTATGTTGTCCACATGCATGGGTTGTATGTCAGGATTTTGTCATGTAATTGTTTAATAGAGATCGTAAGTTTTGTGGTGGCTGTACAGATCCAACTATTGACTTTGGAGAACTATGTAAGTGGAGCTGAGCAACTGATGGGTTAGGGAGGTGTGTCTTGTCTTGCCAGCTTTTCTTAGTGGCTTCAATCAATGGACAGACGTGTGCACTAGACTAAAAGAAGACCAAAACCATGCCAGAAGATATCACAATGAAATTTTTTTTTAGCAATGGGAATAATAACAATAAATAAAAAGCTCAATACCGGTAGTTCTTGACTTACAACAGTTCACTTAGTAACCATTAAAAAAAATGACTTATGACCGTTGCAGTATCCCCATGGTCACATGATTTACATTCAGATGCTTGACAACTGACTCACATTTATGACGGTTGCAGAGTCCCGGGGTCATGTGACCCTCTTTTGTCATCTTCTGCAAGCAGATTCACTTAACAACCGGGTCACTAATTTAACAACTGCAGTGATTCACTTAACAAATGTGGCAAGAAAAGTCATAAAATGGGGCAAAACTCACTTAACAAATTTTTCACTTAGCAACATATATTTTGGGTTCAATTTTGGTCATAACTTGAGGACTACCTGTAATAAAATTAGCACCAAAACAATAAAAGTCCAAAAACATTACTACAGTTTTTAAAAGAGCTGAGAAAACTAGAAGGCCAAAAGAGAAGGTAGCATAGGAGCCATACGTTTTTCTACAGAGGATATTTCATAAATAGAGTACCCCCATAAAAAAGATAAATCTGTCCATAAGCTTAGCTTTTTACGATTCCTTTATCATTCATTAAACAAATGTTGCTGTTTGAAAGAGCATGGAAGGATGTTCTGGCCAAATCCAACAAGAAGACATATTGCAGTTCCAATACTAATTATTGCTATGTACACGTTGCTAACATATTGTGAACCTTCTATCAACAGAATTACAGTTTGTATTTTATACACAGATATGCTTACAGATAGAATATAATAGAACTTACCCAAAATTGCAACAACTTCATCATCTTGGATCACCTCCAAGGATCCTGAAACCACAAAGCACAGATTGTCCACGCTCTCACCCGCATGGTAAATGAGATCTCCCGGAGCACAATGCACAGTCTGAAATTCCATTGCAAGAGCTCGCAGGCACCCATCACTAGCCAGTCTGAATGCTGGGTGCTCTTTAAAAACTTTTCGATTCAGATGTACACAGATATCTGCTCTCATGTCCTTAGGACAGATCTGTAAAACCTAGGACAACAGGACCAAAAATAAGCGTGCACAAGCCTTAAAGAATGTGTTAAAACCCTGTGTGAGATTTATCTTTATATTAATTAATCCTTAGTGTATTTGCCAATGAATTTATTCTTTCTTTCTACAGTCAATTAGTTTTAGCTAGAACTAGAAGCTTATTCTCTTCTGTTTATCACTGTAAATGTTAAACAAAGGATTGTCAAAGGATTTAGAGGCAAGTTAAAGAAACAATGCCTGTTTGATCTAGGTTTTTCCACATTTTGCTCAACAATAAATTAAAGTAACTTCAGAATATTATAGTTTTACAAGGCCAGAAAGAAAACAGTGATTTAAGTCAAACTTATTTTCAGAGTACAGTAATTAACTATGAAAATAGAATAAATTAATAAAATATTTACTTGTTATAAATACAAATAAGTATAATAAAATAGCAACATTATAGTAAAACTCTTAATCTGTTTCATTTGACCAATAAGCTTGTTGCTATATAACTGATCATCACAGTCTTCCAACTGATATTTTGAACCTGTTAACTATTATATTTCAAAAATTAATTCATAACCACAAAAAGATCAGACTTAATCTTTCTCTTTATTAGCTTTAATTTACATTCTTAAGGACAAGAGGTAAAATAAAATCTCAGGGTTTAGAGATTCATATATCAAGGTATATATGAAATTTGAACAGATTTGCTCAGATAAGTATGTAACATAACCACTAGCACTAACTGCAGAGTACAAAACACACTCCTTATTCATTTTGTAACATTTTTCAATTTTTGTATATATGAAAAATTGGCAGAGCTTGAGAAGTTGGCTTGAGAATTTGAAGATCTATATTTATCAACCAATAAATTTGGTTGATAAATAAATAAACCAATACTTATTGATTTTCTACAAGAGAAGAAGTCAGGGTGGCAGTAAAATATAGGGTTTAGTTTAGCTTAGCTAAGCTTAGCTTAGTTTACCTTAGCTTAGTTTAGCTTAGCTTAGTTTAATTTAGCTTAATTTAGCTTAGCTTAGCCCTTAGTTTATCTTAGGGTTAGTTTATTGTCATTGCACCTCATACAATGAAATTAAAGAGCAGTGAAAAGCTAAGTAATGCTAGATTTCTCAAGGGACCTCACCTTTTCAGTATCAATGCCCCTGGACATTGACCAGGTAGAAACAATGTAGTCCATCACACGTTCACTCAAGCCTTTGGGCACTTGATAGAGCTTCAGGAAGTCCCGGACACTGTTCAGCATTTCGTGATATCGGTTTGTATTAGCATACATTTGCTGAAAGATAGTTGTCACATTCCCAAAAATGGTTGCATATAACAGAGCTGCAAATAGAAGAAGGTGGGGAAGGGGGAACAAAATGAAGGTGGGCCTTCTCTGAAAGAGGCAGATGGTTTGGCAACTACAGCAGTTCATTGCAGTATTTGTGGGAGAAAATAGCATCAATTCCATCAATTGCAGTAATAATTATCTTAATTGTTACAACCCTAAGCACTGATGCCATTTATTGCCTATTGGTACAAGCCTTTAGAGATGTCCTTTCAAAATTGCACGTATTACATAAAAGAAGGATGCCTCGTCTTGATACAAATTCTCTTGTTTCAATTAACAGTGCCATTTTCAATTTGTTTTATGTTAAATGACTTACTGAGTAACTTCACAGCTGTGCAATTAGGGAAACATTTTTTAACCCTGGAGGCTACTCATTCAATTCAAGCTTGATGTCACCTTAAATCACTACCTCCTATTCACTAAACTGTACATAGGCACAGCTTCTTTCAATGCTGTAAATAGAATGCATATATTTATTAACTTTTGTAACCTTACCTTTCCCAAACAGAAGTTCATGGAGCCTTACAAAAGTTAAAAATGTCTCGTATAAACAATGGACAGAAAGAAATTCAACAAAAGCCAACTCAACAAAAGCCTTTAGTAGTTTGAGCATGAAAAGGTCTCTGATTTTTTCCACTTGGCAGATCAGATTATTTTCAATAAAAGTCAAATAAATGTGCTTAGAGAGAGTGTTACAGTTGAAAAGCCACAACAGGAGAAGCTGAGATTCAGGAAAATGTCAGATCCAGAAACAAGCCTCCATATTCAACAAGAGTGTCTGATTCTTTCATGCAAGAGATGCAATTCCACCTAAAAAGGAATCTCAGGAAGTATTGCTGGGGAAAACTCTGTCAAAGATTTTGAAATATTTCTGCCAGCGATACAGTTCAGAGCTCTCAGGAAACCATTATACTAAGTTGCTCTACCTAACCCAGATAGGATGTGCTGAGAAGACCATTGGGGATGGGCAGGGACTGATAGGCAAACTTAAAATTCTGAAAGCAGGTCTTGAATGCTTTCAGAAAATAATTGCTCAGAAGTCTGCCAATTTACAAAATGGCTACCACAAGAGAGATAGTAATCATGACCAGTTTGCTGAAAGATGAAAAGGTGGGCTTATTAGTTCATGCTTATTTTTTTTTTTCATTTGATTTATATGCCGCCCTTCTCCGAAGACTCAGGGCGGCTTACAATGTGCTCAGCAATAGCCTTCATCCTTTTGTATATTTATACAAAGCCAGTTTATTGCCCCCACAAACTGGGTCCTCATTTCACCTACCTTAGAAAGGATGGAAGGCTGAGTCAACCTTGAGCCTTGGCGAGATTCGAACCCTGCAGTAATTGCAGGCAGCTGGTCTTAATAAGCTTAATAACAGGGTGCCTTAAACCCCTGTCCTACCAAGGCTCTTATATGCTTATTATGCTTATTAGTTCTTTTCAACCCCTATTAGGAAATATTAGGACTTGAACCTCAATGGTTTGTTCCTGAGTTGCATTATTCCTGCAAGTATATTTAGGGCCTTTCTACTACTGTTGTTTGACCCAAGCCAGTATTGGTGCTATGCTTATATCAGTGGTGGGTTGCTCCCGGTTCGCATCGGTTCGCAAGAACTGGTAGTAAAAATTTGTAGTAGTTCGGAGAACCGGTAATAGCATTGGATGGCCACGCCCCCGAACCGGTCCCCGGCTCGGTCGCCGCTCACTTACCCACCTCATCAGAGGCTTTTTTTTATTATTATTTTTAAAAGCATTTTTTTCTACAACCTCTTCGGCCAAAAAAAATGTTTTTAAAAGTAAAAAAAAAAAGCCTCTGATGATTGTGCAGCTCATCTGGGATCATCAGAGGCTTTTAAAAGCATTTTTTCTACAACCTCATCAGCCGAAGAGGTTGTAGGGGAAAAAAATGCCTTTAAAAGCCTCTAGCGATCTCAGCTGAGCTGCCTGATCGTCAGAGGCTTTTAAAAGCATTTTTTTTCCTGCAATCTCTTAAGGTTGTAGAAAAAATGCTTTTAAAAGTAAAAAAAAAAAAAAGTTGGCCATGCCCACCCAGTCACATTACCCCACCACCAAGCCATGCCCACAAAATAAGCCACGCCCACAGAACCGATAGTAAAAATTTTTAGAACCCACCCCTGGCCTGTATGTTCCCAAATCAGTGTCTTCCAAGGGAAGCTGAAGCCATTTTCTTTTGGCTCAGGTGTGCCTTAACTCCATGTAGGATCTTCACTGGGAGGAGGCTGATTTTCCAGTTGTATTGTGTTGGGGGGGGGTGCACTGAGGGAACTCAACCAATCTCATTGTCAGCTTTGGAAGCCATATTAACAACAGAAGCTTCCATGCTGCCACCTTCTTGCGCTTGGGAAAATAGAAGGGGGGGATTTAGTAGAGTGTTTGTAATTAGACATAATAGCATTCTTCCTTGTGGTCAAGGTCAGGGTGTTCCTGCATCTGCGGGAAGAATGGTTGCAGTGATGGCTCAAGTTGGGATGGATGGTGATTGGGCCATGTGATGGACTGATAGGTGCAGGGGGCTGGATTTGGGATTTTGATTTACTGAGGAAAAACCCAGAGCTCTCAGATTCAGGTTTTCTCAGATGTGCCAATATACCTACTCTAATAAATGGAAATTTTGAGATGATGCCTGTCTCAGAGTTTTTCATTGGAGTTGGGTTGTTCTAGAATGCTGACATATGTTGTGTACTGACAATAAAGATTTGATTTGATTGATTTGAGTTGAGTTGAGTTGAAAACTATTGTCTCTCCCTACTCCCTACTACCTGAGCTTACTTCCTGGTGGATTTCATAGGGAACTTTATTGGCAAATCTCTTCTTAACCCTTCTAGTCAGTTTTATAATACCTGTAAAAATGTACTGCCCTGACCACCTCTACTTATGCACAGATCCAACTATTGTATCAATCCAACCTCTGAGTACAAGGCTTTACACACACTTTCTGTACACACACACATTCTGGAACCATAGTTAAAATGTTGGGGAAAGTTCCTACTTGGGATTGCAAATCTGCGATGTCATGCCATCTGAACAGCTTTTAACAGAAATTTATATGCAAGAAAAATATTACCTTGACACCAGACAACTTTCCCCTTATCAACTACTCAGATATTTTGTGGCTTGGCCAAAGACAAACAATATATGCTGAAAGCACAAGGGGGAGCCAGTTATTTATTTTGCTCCTGTCTGTAAGGAATGGGAATTCAAATATCTGAAGCCCACTGATAATTTTGTAGTCTTCTATTGGATGACTGAAGGACACACTGAATGATTCTCAACGTTTAGCCCTTCAAATTAGGACAGGTCAGGAAAAAGACTCCACAAGACATGCTGAAACTCCGTCTCTTTATATAGGCTATAGTAACAGAATCTTGGAATCCTAAAAGCCTCTCTTATATCAGAGAATCAAGTTTCTGATGATGTTACCTAGTTTGGTAATGAAACATCTGCAAGAAAACAACCAAGCTCAGAGAACACCAGGGAACCCACAGAATCAAGTTTACATTTCTTTGCAACATTTGCTTCTTTTCCTGGGCTTAAATTCTGTTTTGCTGACTGTAAATTCCTTCTCCAAGGTCATCTGTCTGGTCCTCAATCCAGAATTCCTTGTCAGGAAGAATGAAGTAGATTGCAAAGTTTACCTTGAAATGCTTACAAGGGAGTAGAGAGTAGAAATAGTTCCACGAGGAAATGCCCATTGACTAAAGCCTTATGCCAATAGGAGGCCATTTTTAAAGTATCCCTAAGATGTTGTTCATGTGATGTGCATTATCAGCATTAATAGAGAGATGGTTTATTATATAGCAACCATGTTCTAAACAACTTAAAGTGCAGCAGCTGGGATCAAAATATCTTCAATCTTTCTTTTTCTGGGATAGGGTTGAAAGGATCACAGGCAATAGATTCTTGAAAATAAAATTAATCTCTGAGATAAAAATAACCAAGAATGAATGACCAGCATTTAAATATCTCAGCAGAAACAGATAGATTCAAATGGCCAATCATTCTAGAAATTTTGTTTTTTAAACCAAAAACATGCCTCCTCCCAGAGTTGGTTGCAATTCCTCTGATCATCAGTAATGGTTATCTTGATTTTGTGACATCCTATGGAACTTCATTTAATCAGAAAGAAATCAGAAAGAAAAAGGTTTTGGTTGGGAGGCTTCTCTACTGAACAAATAGAGAATTTCTCTCTGGAAATTAAGCATCTACCAACTCTATTATGGCTGAAGATAAAGGATGGCCTTGAATGCGCTCAGCTCTTGGAAAAATCCATGTATTTTTCTTGGCAGAGTGATGGACGAGATTTAATTTTTATCCAGGATAGTGGTGATGATGATAATTTTACATCTCACTTAGTCAATAGACCTAGGTGGTCCCCCATTCTATATTAAACAATGTCAAACTTGCTAAGTTTCAGCCAAAATTATCCCGCTGTTACTCCCTACCAAGTTTTTTTAGATTTTAGGTACATGATCTCATCTCAGTGTTTCATTCTTTTAGTTGTATTATTGTGACCAAGTGTGTTTTTTGCACACTCAGCAGAGAAAGTAGCAAAGTGCTTATGGAAAAAGGATTAAGATGGGATATTATTTATTTGTACAGTGTTCTTTTTTCTGGAAGAGAACATAATGCACAGAGGAAAATTGCCATAAATTGTAAGGAAAAAAAAGGCTCAGTGGCTGATAAAAAATTTAAAAATGCAACATTAGGTATATTATTACCAAAGTAAGCCGCCTGCAGTCACCTATGTATGAGTTGAGCGGTTATATAAATTTGTCAAACAAACAAAAAAAGAAAGAAATAGTTAATGAATGGAGTTAATTTGAAGCCAGTTTGATTGTGAAGCAATTATGGCTCTGCACGTGTACTAGTAAGACTATTGTAAATTATTTTTACACCTAAAAGCCAGCCATGCTTCTCCTGGAAGAGAATTTAATAAACAGGACAGCATTTCCCAAAATAGCTTTCTTTGAGTCAA